AGCCAGCCATGCTGGCTGGGGAATTCTGGGAGTTGAAGTCCACTCATCTTACAGTGGCCAAGTTTGGACAACACTGCTCTAAGGCAAGCTCAAAGGGGTAAAGTGTTGGATCAAAGAGAGCTGGCCAGGGATATATCAGATAAGAACAACAAATAAGTCTGGGATGCTGAAGAAGCGTAACACACGTAACTGCACAAAAATGCTGTGCAAATATTTCATAGCAGAGGACGAATGCTGGAAATGCTCTAAACATGTGAACAGCTGAAGTAGTCTTGCTCAGTGTTGTGCCCCTCAAAGTAGCTGAGACTACATTTCCCAGAATTCCTAGGCAGAACAGCCAGAACAGAAAGCTGAGCTAGAGAGGCTCCACATGTGTGAACCTCTAGCTCCTCTTGACCAAAAACAGCTATGGTAAAACCGTTAAGCAACGAGACTGAAACTTACCGATTTTTTGGTCTTTTTATCCTTCTTCCCCTTCTTGACTATTTTGTCTGAAAGAAACAAAAAGAATCAAACCAAGAGCTGTCAAGCACCATTGTCCTGAAGAAGCTCCAAGATCTGCACCATCTGGCCCTCTGTCCAACCGAAACAGACTTCTCTGCCTTGTAAAGAGTGAGATGGGACTACTGGCAAACTGAAAACCATTTTTCGTGTTTGGCAAAGCGTGAGCCAGTGTGATATAATGGTTAAAGTATTGGATGGGAGCTGCAAGTTGAAGTCTTCACTTGAATCATAGAGTTGAAGGGGACCATGGAACCTCAGAGATGTCAGGTCAATCACTATTATTCTGCTGAAGCTGCCTCCCAGAGTGGTTGTCATATGTATAAAATCAGAGGGACCTCCACCAGCGCTGCTCTGAGCATCCAAACCAAATGTAGGAATTTAAAAAAAAAAGCCAAACCAACTTAGTTCACTACCCATTTCAAATTCAACTAAGTGCCTAGATGATGATGATGATGATATTTTACCCCACTCTTTTTAATACACAGACACACACAAACAAACTGAAGGTGGTAATGTTGCCCATTGGGGAAGATGGGTGGCATACAAATTAAATAAATAAATAAGCAAACAAGCAAGCCTTATACTCCTTCCTCCTCCTATTTTCCCCACAACAGCAACCCTGTGAGGTGAGTTGGGCTGAGAGAGAGGGGCTGGCCCAAAGTCACCCAGCCAGCTTTCATGCCTAAGGCGGGACTAGACCTCACCGTCTCCTGCTTTCTAGCCCGGAGCCTTCACTGCTAGACCGAGCTGGCTCTCTAAAACTTTGTGGTGCCCCTTCTCTTGGTGCCCAAAGCATATGCTTATTTTGCGTAATGGTCAATCTAGGGCAGGTTCAGATGCTCTACCAGGAATTGAACTCATGGACTGTTGTACTTTCGATGACTATGTACAGTGCATTACCTTTAGGAGCTATCCACATCCTGACATTTAACTAAAATAGTTTGTCTTAAGAAAGCAGCTTTGTATTTGTGTTTCAGATGAGGACTCAGAAAGCCTGTTAAAAACTATATTCAGGCAGAATGCTGATTTGAGTCCAATTGTACTTTCTCTCCCTAGCTGATCTTACAGAGTCATTTTCAGAAAATGGTAGAAGGAAAACTCTTGAGTGGGACTGTGCAGTACTTTGGAAATAATTCAGAAAAGGTGTTGTTGAACAGCCAGGATGGCAATACAGCACCTGTCTGCAATTCTTCCAAGCAGCTGCAACACCATCCATGGGAAATATGAGGCTGCTTGAAAAAGTCACCAAGAGGTGCTATATTAACGCACCCATATGTTCCGAAGCACTTTTTTGAAACTGAATCCAAAGCAATTGCAAACCAGCTCTAATATTGAATATTGTCCTGAACCATCTCAGCAGAATTACAGGAGAAAAGTATAATAACCAAACCTAACCCACAAAATATTTTACTTGCCAATGGAACTTGTGGCAAATAAATTTCCTGAAATTAAGGGGGGGGGGGGAAGCCCATGTTCTCATGCATTCATTAAAAAAAAATAATTCATACCACAAATATTGTCCTGAACCATCTCAGCAGAATTACAGGAGAAAAGTATAATAACCAAACCTAACCCACAAAATATTTTACTTGCCAATGGAACTTGTGGCAAATAAATTTCCTGAAATTAAGGGGGGGGGGGGGAAGCCCATGTTCTCATGCATTCATTAAAAAAAAAAATTCATACCACATAGCAGCTTAAAAAGCTGAAACTATTTTTTTTTAAATGCATTATTATTATAATTGGTATTCCAGGCTTTTCCTAACAACTTCTGCAAGCTTTTTGGTGGGTTATACTAGAAACTGGCGGATTCAATTTGCCAATAAAGGAGGAAAGAAGAAGGAGAAGGGTTCAAGCTTAGCAAAACACTACTAGAAGAGAGGAAACCATGTTGACTTGCTCCAACTTCTTCTGATAACAAATATTGCAAAAATGGCAAGATAGACAGAAATCTTACTGAGCACGACTGGCAGGAGAACTGGCTCCTGGACTGAGGGCCTTTGGCAAAGAGCCATCAGGTAGGCTCCACTATATATTAGCAGACCCTATTCACAGCACCAGATGATCACCTTTGAACAGGGCTTGGAATCCATTAGTACAATTCTACACAAGGTACCTGACAGTTCTGCTTCCAGGGCATTGTGGAAAACTCAAACGGTAACTCTACTAAAGGCCTCCATTTTTCCCAACAATGCAGACAGGCAAAATATAAAACAAAATATTTTACTTGCCAATGGATGCTAAGAGGAGACACTTGTGGCAAATAAATTTCCTGAAATTAGGGAAGGGGGGAAAAAACCCATGTTCTCATGCATTCATTAAAAAAAAATAATTCATACCACATAGCAGCTTAAAAAGCTGAAACTTTGAGTGAGGTTATGCTGAGGGCATTGTGGGCAATTAGAGAGGGAGTCCCAGAACTAGCAAGCTGATGGGAGACAATTGTTTAAAGGTGGATCTGGGCACCAATCAGCGCTACAGGCCCTGGGCCTCCAGAACCTACCCAAGGAAACAGTGAGTTAACACTGAGTCTAGTTTGGATTTCATCTGCTGCGCAGCTGTTAAAAACACAAGGAGTCCATCAGGAAAATAAAATATGGTCATCATACAGTAAGCAGGTAGATTAGCCTTATTTACTTAATTAGGAAGCATCCTATTTCACAATCTGCAGGACTCTTCCCAACCCCATTATTTTTTCCCTTCCCACCCCCAATTAACTTACTTGTTTGAGCCTAATATCTTGCATTTCTCACCTCAATCAATCTTCCCAGTTGCTTTCATCCCAACTAGATCTCTCACAGCCTTTTTGCCCATAAATTACTAAGGGTGGTTTGCTTATGAGTGAGTGAATGCATGCGTTTGTTTCCAGAGTCTTTTAATAGCTACATGCAGAAGGGTATGTACTGTTTTCCATCCCAGACTTAGAAAAAAGATTAAGGTGCTAACTTTTGCCTTTCAGACAGCTGTTAAATGTTCAGGAGCCTAACAGGAAAATAAATATAATTGCCAGCTCTGTTCCTAATCAAATGCCTTACCTTTCCCAAATATCTGGGCATTTGTAAATTGGAGCTCAGAAGTTATGAATGCTTTCACAAATTTCCACAGCAATATTAGGCCATTACAACAGCTCAGGATGAAATGAACAAGGAGCAAAAGAGATTTCATTGGGCCACATAAAACTGGGAAAGCTCTCCAGAGAATCTGTGGGATCTCCCAAAGTTGCTTGAAGTCCAATGGCAGCTACAATGGTGAGGAATCTTGGGAGCTGTAGTTCAGTAAACAGGCTCCTGGTTTATATTAAATAATGCTGAATCAATGGATTTGACACCTCAAATCTTGCCAAGGACTCTTTGCCTTTCTTCAGAACAAGAAAGAATCATAGCAACCCTCCTCCATTTAGCACCTTTCAAATGAGTTGAACTACAACTCCTATCAACCATGCTGGCTAAGGATGATGAAACTTGTTGTATATTGTGCTAAGCATGATGAAATGTTCTGTGCTAGAAAAAGGGGCTCAAGGATTACAGAGATGACTAAATAAAGGAAAGGCAGGAAAAGTTAACAACAGAGATTCTAGGGCAGTTGTGGGTACATATGGAAGAAATTTAACAGCAACAGAGCACAGGAGGCAACCCAGTATGGCAAACAGGGAGCAGAAAGAAGGTTAAGAAAGACACCTTACACAAGAATTAGGATCAGGAGGAACTATGTGCTTTTGGCAAGAAGAGAACAGGAGAGGGAAAAGGAAAATTTAGGCTCTGTCAAACCAAACTCAAAGAGATTTATGGGACAATAGGATGGCCATATGCTGAATTTCAAATATTTTGGGCTCCAGCAGAAAACCTGCAATTCTCAAGTATAAAGTAATCCAGTTTGGTCCATCTACCCTGCTCTAAGGAAGTTCTAATTCTCACCCTCTCATTATATATGTAGACCAGTTGGGATGGACACGTGCAGCCTTCCCAAATGGGAATGAGAATGATAGGAGTTAAACAACATATGGAAGCAGAATTGATGAAAGGTTGTACTGTACTGTAAATCAGCAAGTCTCTCTCCAACTGCTATGAACAAAGGGTGGTCTTAGACAAGCTGCTCGCTCAGTCCATCCAATGGGAGTTAATCATACCCACCCAGAGCCGGCATGTAAAACACTCTGACAGCCTACAGCAGTGTTTCTCAACCTTGGCCACTTGAAGACGTGTGGACTTCAACTCCCAGAATTCCCCAGCCAGCACGGGGAAGTTGAAGTCCACACATCTTCAAGCTGCCAAGGTTGAGAAACACCAGCCTAGAGTATAGCGCAAATGTTAAAATATTATACTGCCATATTTATGGACAATAGATCTTTTTGGTTAGGTGGGCTGCATGTTTATTCAGCTGCAGTACTATGGATATTTATGTTTGTCTCCTTATCCTCTTTCTTAGGAAACGAGAAATTAAATAAAATATCAAATAAATACCATATATTAAGCTCCACTAATTAAAGATCACGCAATGTGTACTGGCTTTTTCTGAAGCAGTTATCCCAGTTTGTTATCTAGGCAACAGTCCCTACCGGTGCATTTCCAATATAACAATACACAATACTCACTTTTAGCCCCTTCAGTATCTCTTTTGGATACAAATCAAATGTGAGACGGCAAAAGGTGTACTTATTATCATTTCACATATCAGGAGCACTCTTAAAACAGAACCATGGGCCTTGTCTAAAAGTTACCCCTTCCCAAGCCTAGCGCCTTGGCTAAAACTCCTATCACATCAGCCAATGTGGCCTGGATGATTGGCGTTACATCCCAAAACATATGCCGGAGAAAACTGGATTAGATAAGTGGACAGGAGGAGTAAACCAGAGAGAGGAGGCTGGTTTAGACGAACAGAGAGAAGAAAAGTGTCACGAGGGAAAACACAATCACATACATTCACACATACTAAGTTTCTCCTTATGTATCACCCCCTGTCTATATTGGAAATGCTGCTTATATTAGGATTGATAGGCCAGCTCTACCAAGGACCACGTTGAACTTCCTTCTGAATAAATATACAATTATTAGAAAGCTACTTATTTCGGATTTTCCTGGTATTCTGCAATGGCTGGAAACTTGTTTATAAAGCAGGGCGCGGGAGGGTAATTTTTAGAGAGTAATTATCCTCCCCACTCCCCGGATTTTCAAACCCG